TCGTGCTGTACCCAGGCCAGGACAGCAGCCCAGCGTCCAGTGAGCTGGTGCCCGTGTCGGCCGAGGCGGGCTACCTCATCACCAAAGTGGTGGCCGTGGATGCCGACTCCGGGCAGAACTCGTGGCTCTCGTACCACCTGCTGAGGGCCAGCGAGCCAGGGCTGTTCACGGTGGGTGTCCACAGCGGGGAGGTGCGTCTGAGGAGGCCGGTGACGGAGAGAGACAGCGTGAGGCAGAAGCTCCTTGTCCTGGTCAGAGACAACGGCAAGCCGCCCCTGTCGGCCACGGCAGCTGTGAGCGCGCTCCTGCTCAAGGACTTGTCAGACGTGCGCCTCCCCGGGCACGGCAGCCCGGCCCCAGAGGATCAGGCTGGCTCCCTGACCACCTATTTAATCATTGCCCTGGTGTGTGTCTCCCTGCTCTTCCTCGTCTCCACGGCACTCTTTGTGGCTCGCAAGGTGTGCAAGAGAAAGGAGCTGAAGGCTGGCCATGTGCTTTATGGTGCCGACAACTTGCAGAGCGGCCTGGCTGATGGGGCCGCTGCAGGGAGCCTGCCCCGCGCCTATTGCTACGAGATCAGCCTCACAACGGGCTCGGGCAACAGCGAGTTCAAATTCCTCAAGCCCATCCTCCCCAGCGTGCCAGCACAGCACTGCGCCGTGGGCCACGGCCCGGAGGATGAACAGCATTTCCCCTGTGTCCCTGTCAGCACCGAGGACACGGCACCAGACAATCCTGGCACTCTCTCTGCAGGACACTTCAATTCTCTTTCCTTCAACTAGCTGGGCTCTGCACTGCCAGAGGCTTCAATGCCTGTTGGAGAATGGGATCCAGGCAGCAGCAAATGACAATGGTTCCTCCAGAGACAACTTGTGTTTCCAAATGGCATAACCAATTTCCCTCATATTCTAAGTCAGAGTAGAAGTTTTTAGGATCTCCAAAAAGTGAAAAATAGAAGCAAATAAAAGAAGTTTGGGCTCTCACTCTGGCAGTAATATTCTTCATCTCTATTTTGGCCATTCCTGATAGGCATTAAGAAGGGGGTTAGCACTCCAGCTATTCTCCTGTATCTCTTGCTGTCAGACCAGACCATGAAACCCATATTTTTTCATTGCTATAACACAATGGCATAGTTTTGTAGATACATTTAACATTTGCTGGAATGGCCCAAAGCCCTTTGACCAGCTCAGAAAAGTGCAGTACTTCTGAATACTGTGTCATGATCTTTTGTTAGCATGGGGCTTTTTCCTTCTGGGGATTTGGAGGTCTCTGGCCATGTGGGCTTTGTGTGTTACACTTTCTTCTCAGTATGTCTGTCTGTACGGCCGTTGTTCATATGCAGATGCTTCACTAATGCAGCCCAGTGAAAGAGTGAATTTGTCTCATCCAGCCATTGCAATGCTGACAATTCCAGGTCTACAGAATAAAAGGCTATTTTGACCCTATAGGTACAGGGCTCTCATCTTCATCAAGGCAGAGAGGAGCAGGAAAATGCACAAAATCATCCTTTATCTAATATGTATTTGTGTTCTGTACACCTGGGATAGGCTTGGAAATTTAGCACCGAAAGATGCATTAGGGCAGGCTGTAACTGTAGAGAGTTATGAAAACTTTTAATTCTCGTTATGAGCATGAGAACACCATTTGTCCATGAAATATAATTTTCTGAATTTAGAATCAAGCAGAACTTGAAAACAGAACATTGAGTTTTCTTTCCTCATTCTTGTTTCTGAATTCAGAGGTTTCTCTCTGGGACTAGAAAGCTGTCCCTACAGAAGTTTCTCCATTTTTCTTAGAGCATTCCAATTTTTTCCCTTTCTCCTTTTATCTACTTAACTGTACTGAGAATTATTTTGCTCATTCCTGTTGAGAAGGACTGCCAACCCAGCTATAATAACTGGTTGTTTGAACAATGTCTGTGATGCATGGGATATTCATTAAGACACCCTTAAGTTGTATTGTGCTGAAGTTAGAAACATTAACATTGGTATAAGACTGAATTTAAATATTGTAAAGATATGTAGAATAGAAATAAAGAGATCACACTGACTACTTACGTGGAGACAGAATTCTTTCTAGAGACGTTCTCTCAGGGAAAGACTTATCAAGGCTCTTCAAGCTTCAGCGAGGTTTTTTCTCGCAATGTCCTTTGTTCAAAGGGATGGGGGGATTCAGTTGGTGAGCGTAGAGATGCAGGCGGGGAGTTTTCATTTGCTGCCCGGGCTGTCAGCATCGCCCGTTGCGTGCTTATCAAGGCTCTTCAAGCTTCAGCGAGGTTTTTTCTCGCAATGTCCTTTGTTCAAAGGGATGGGGGGATTCAGTTGGTGAGCGTAGAGATGCAGGCGGGGAGTTTTCATTTGCTGCCCGGGCTGTCAGCATCGCCCGTTGCGTGCTCAGTTTGTCCTGCTGAGCGATGAGGCTGTGTGGTTCTGGTGTGGGTGTGGGCTTGCCGCTGGCCTGGGAAAGGGCGCATTGTGATGCTGGCGCCGGGTGTGTGGAAAGCTTTGGACTCTCGGTCCGGGGCGAGCGGCAGCGCGGGCTGCGGGCGGCGGCGGGCGCAGTTGCAGCGCGCACCGCTGGGTGGTGCCCTCGGCCAAGGCGGCGCCGAGCGGCTGCGGCAGCGGAGGCGGCCGAGCCCGGCCCGGCCCAGCCCAGCGCAGCTCGGCTCAGCGCAGCGCAGCTGAGCCCGAGCGAGCTGAGATCAGCGCAGCGCAGCCGGCCGGAGGTGGCAGCGGCTGCGTTGGCGAGCGCTGCCCCGTGTCAGCCGCTGCCGGCACCCCCCGGCTGTGTCAGGCGCCGCTTTCGGCGGAATCGGAGGCAGCGAGAGAAGGCGCCCGGCCCGCGCTTGGCCGCTTTCGGCGGGGAATCACCGGGGACAGCCGCCACACCGACCCCGGCCGCCGCCGCCGCCGCCGCCGCCGCGCCATGGCGATCGCAAGGCAAGTGCTTTGTCTGTCTGCTTTCCTGTGGCTGCCGCCCGCTCGCGCCGAGCCCATCCGCTACTCCGTAGCCGAGGAGGCGGAAAGCGGCTCCCTGGTAGGCGAGCTGGCGGAGGACGCGGGGCTGACGCCGGCGCAGCTCTCGGCTCGCCGCGCCCGCCTGGTGTCGGAGGACGGCCGGCAGCATTTTGCCTTAGAGCGCGGCTCCGGCCGCCTGCTCGTGGCGGGGAGGCTGGACCGGGAGGAGCTGTGCGGCCAGTCCGCCACCTGCATGCTCCCCTTCGAGCTGCTGCTCTCCAACCCCCTGCAGTTCTTTCGGGTCGAGGTGGCTCTGGAGGATATCAATGACCATTCGCCTATTTTCCCTGAGGAAGAGGTGTCTTTTGACATACCTGAGACGAGCGAGCCAGGCTCTCATTTCCCGTTGGAGGTGGCTCGGGATCTCGATATTGGCAGCAACACAGTCCAGACATACAGCATTTCTCCTGAGAACAAGTATTTTAGTGTATCTTACGGGATTCAGTTCGCAGGCAAGAAGTATCTGGAACTGGTCTTAGAAAAGCCTCTAGACAGAGAAGAGCAGGCAGAGATGGGTTTCCGTGTCATTGCAGTAGATGCGGGCTCTCCTCCCAGAACTGGGACGACTGAAGTGGAAATTGTCATACTAGATGTAAATGACAATGCTCCCGTCTTCACACAGGCGGTGTACATTGGGAAAGTTTTGGAGAATATGCCAGAAGGCTCTGTGGTTCTGATTGTACTAGCAACGGATCAGGATGCAGGAGTAAATGGGGAAATTTCCTATCAACTGAGGCAAGACGTGGGACAGAACGACTCACTATTTCTGATTGATCCCATAACTGGTGAAATTAAAATCACAAAACCTCTGGACTTTGAGGCAGCACAGAGTCACGAACTGAGTGTGAGAGCCAGAGATGGTGGGGGACTCTCAGCAATCTGCAAAGTGCTGGTGGAGGTGGCGGATGTGAATGACAATGCCCCAGAGGTGATGGTCAGCTCCTTCAGCAGTCCCCTCCCCGAGAACACAACGCCCGGCACGGTGGTTGCCCTGTTTACGGTCAGGGACCGGGATTCTGGGGCCAACGGGAAGATCTCGTGTGGCCTCGAGGATCAGCTCTTCTTCTCGCTGCGGCCAGCCTATAAGAATTACTATGAGCTGGTGACAGTGAGCGCGCTGGACCGCGAGGAGACGGCTCGCTACATCCTCAGGGTGACGGCAGCAGACGCGGGGTCGCCTCCTCTGACGAGCACGCAGACCTTCACCGTGGACATCTCGGATGTCAATGACAACGCCCCCGTCTTCAACCAGACGTCGTACACCATGTACGTGCGTGAGAACAATGTGCCCACGGTGTTTGTTGGAGCCGTCAGCGCTGCCGACGCTGACGTGGGGCTCAATGGCAAGGTGAGCTATTCCCTGGCAGCGGTGCAAGCGGCAGAGGGGCCTTGGTGCTCGTGCGTGTCTGTGAACTCTGAGAACGGGCACGTGTTTGTGCTGCGGCCCCTGGACTACGAGCGCTTGAGGCAGACGGAGGTGACGGTCAGTGCCTCTGACGCGGGCTCTCCTCCCCTCAGAGCCAACGTCAGCGTCCGCCTCGTGGTGCTGGACGAGAACGACAACGCCCC